TGTCCATGGAAGCTTCCTCATGTTGCCCATCAGGTGACTAAATGGAGACTTTTTTGACAAAACCAAAATTCTGACAGCATATGACATTATACTGTAAAGACTTAAAAGGACTTAGGAAGCATTTCTTTAGGAAACATTGCATTACGAAGCATTTATTTCCAGAAGGGCTTGTTAGGCATTGAAATGGGCTGCCCAGGGATGTGGTGGAGTCCCCATCCCTGGAGGGGTTTAAGAGTCGGGTTCACATAGCGCTGAGGGATCTGGTGTAGTTGGGAACTGTCAGTGTTAGGTTAATGGTTGGGCTGGATGATCTTCAAGGTCTTTTCCAACCTAGATGATTCTGTGACTTTCTTTCAAAGGAAAATTTCTCATGTTTTTTTAAAACCAGGCCATGGTATCTTCCAATTATAATTTTTTTCTTTATTTATGCAGCTCAACATCTGCAAAGCCATGACATCAATTTTTGAAATCACAATACAGTGTCATTGAAAAGGTCAATGCAAAAGATGATACCAAAAAATCAAAGGAAGAGTAAAGAAGGCAATGTAGGGTTTTCATCTAGGCATCTAAGGCACTGCAAGTTCAAAGGGATCTTAGCACCATCATTCATGAGGCATAGTATTACTGCTGACCCCACTAGTTTGTATTTATGAGCAGATAAAAATTCATCTGTTCCACAAAGAGTTTCAAAGTGAAGGCAGCGCCTACTTAAAGAAATGTAAAAAGAACACTATTTTGTTTCCATCACACATAATAAATGTAGCAAAGGGAAATAACAAGTGCTCATTACTCATAGTTGTTAACAATGGTATGTTTGTGCACTGCTGATACTACAAAAGCACCTAAACCATTAATGTAATTGCAAAGCCAACAGGAAACTAACCACAACAGAGTGCAGGAGCAGGAGCTGGCATTTAGCATCATACAGTAATACTGTCTGTATTGGACATTTCTAAATTGGGCCAAAGTGAGCACAGAGTAGCAGAAAGAAGGGGTGATTTCCAGGACTTTCCAGTCATCAGGTGCAGGCATCCCATCCCAATCTCCAAATGCCAAGTATGACCCTTAGTCGGAGGAAAGGTGAAATGCACTGTCTCCTTCACTGTGAGCAGTTCTCACTTGAACATGTTTCATTATCACGTTTCTCCTGCCCCCCTGGTGATTTCTAAAATGGTAGAGGTACCAAACTAACATGAAATGGGGAAGAATCCAGGTTTTGAAAACTGAGTTATATCTGAAGGGCGTATCTTAAATGCCTCACTACGATCTTTTCCTGAGTTCTGCACACTAGTTAACCTAACAAGATGTACTCACCCAATGGAAGATAGGACATTTATTTTAGATGCACTGGAATGACGACTTTTTGCTGCTCTGTACAATTAAATGGTCTTTGCTCTCAGCAACCTGCAACTTTTTAAGTGAAAATGCACAGAAACTGAAAAGTCTGTTTTCAAGAGATTCTGCTAATGCCCTGCAACCACAGTCTGCTCCCTTCCAACTACCCTGAAAGTTCTGTTTGCTTTTGAGTGGGGAAGGTATGCTCCATCCAGAGTGGGGAAGATATGCTCCATCCAAAGTAAGTATTGTTTCCAAGCTTGAGATGGTAAATGCACAAACCCCTACACTATGACCATGATAGTTCATTTTTCCCCTTTCCATCAACAGCATGTCATGAAGGGATCTGAAAAATTGCCTCTAGTCTCTCCAGGTGTCAAAATATTTCTGATCTGCCGATAAAAAGGATACAGCAAGGAAAGACTCTCTCTCTGGCGCTATGTCTGATTTGTGTGACTCCTTCACACATTACTCCTCTGACAGCAAACAACATTGTGCTTGATGGGAGTCTAAAAGAAAAACTGCTCTTGTGAAGCCAAAAACTTACAGGAGGAACAGAATTACCACTGTCAAAACCACCTCTTGTCCAGTCTAATGCATGTTGTACAGGGCATGCTGCACTCCCAGGACCCATCGGTTCCCCTGGGGCTTGCAGAGAGTTGCTGACTTCTCCCTGCCACAAAAGGTTTCACTCTCTCTGCCTGCCTTAATAATTACTGTAAATCCTTGCAAAAACAGCATCTCAACCTACCAAACTGAGACACTGTGACACATGCTCTGACAGGGTGTCTCATTTTACTTTGCAGCTGAGGGTACCAGTGAAATGCTAAAACAGCAATGCAAGATTCCTTCATGTACATGGTCCTGAAACAACCTGACACATAAAACAAGAACTTCATGTCACGTCACACCTGGCAGTTTCTTACCTACCAAAAGATCTATATATGCTGAAAAAAAGAAAGCATCAAAATATTTAAGCAATATTGCTCACTGAAAAATCAGACTTTCCAGGATGAAGCCTGTACTCCAGATATCTGACAAAGTCACCCTACAGGTCTGGCTGAATACAGAGCACCTTCTGCAGCCTCAGAGCCAGCATGCAGTCACCGGTGTCATTAAATCCATACTCACGAGTACTTATGTGCTTACAACAGCTCAATCTACCAAAATTATCTGGGACAGAACTTTGTGCAGTGCACTCATTTTTAAGTTAAATATTAATTTCTGTTGCCACTTAGGTGCCTAAAACCAAAATTATTAACCCAATTTCCTATTCATTCCCAGATTCTTCCATTTCTTGTGAACAAATCTGACCCTGCCTTGACTTTTGGCTAGAATCACATCTTCGCTCTGGAGATGGAGCTGTGTATTCTAAATGTTGTCACTCACACACAGTTATTTAGTAAATTGCTCATGGAACAGTGTATTTGAATTGCTCACAGAGAAAAATCCACTGTAAGAAAGACGACTGCAAACCATTTACAAATGCTTTAACTTTCAAACAATTCAAATTACTTTAAAATTAGGCATTTTTGTATTTTCAAGACTTTATTCAAGCATGTGAATTGCTTAAACTTGTTTAATGAATGTTTTTCATTAAAAGACCATAGCTTAATTCAATTAATAAGAAATCACTGAAGTGGGATTAATAAATTAAATACCTCCACTGACATTTTAAAACATTAAAAACAAAGCTTATGCAAATTTTGTTGACAGTATGACAATTATGTTCTTCGGGTTTTCTGTACATACAAGGGTTTTCTTGTTCACCTGAGTTACACACCATCTCTATACATTATTGAATATACTACTTTAATCTTCAGCCAGTTTTTTCCATGTCTATAGACAAAGCATGCAGTAATCCAAATGTGAAAGGAGAAATAGAGTCAATTCAAAGGTGACACTAACATGACTGCAATAATGAAAACAAAAAACCTAATAAAAAGCTATTTATTGTTTTATCAACCTGTTCTTCTAAAAGCTTCCCAAACAAATTCCTCCACATTGGTCTGAAACTGCCTGTCTGGAATGGATGCAACAAATCCATCTGACAAGGCTTTAAATGGCCTGCAAAATGAGTGACGTAGTTTGACAGACACACATACATGCACTGTCCTTTTATTAGTTAATGCAAAGCACTGTCCAGTTCAGAAGCATCTGTTTAACTGAGTATATTCACCTGTATTAATGACAACAGCACAGATAATTAAAAATGAATGAAATTTTCCTTTTTTCTATCCTTGTTTTCTTTTTTTTATATATATAACAGAAGTCACTTACATCAGTTTAATTTGTAAACATATTTAATTGCTGTATGTTTGGCAGAAGCTCTGAATAGGAAAAAGCATTTTGCCCAGAATCTTTACTTCACAGAACCACAGAATCATCTAGGTTGGAAAGGATCCTGGAGATTATCTAGTCCAACCGTTTGCCTAGCACAGTTCCCACCTACAGCATATCCTTAAGCTCTAAATTGACCCTACTCTTGAACACCTCCAGGGATGGGGACTCCACCACCTCCCTGGGCAGCCCATTTCAACGCCTAACAACCCGCTCTGTAAAGAAATGCTTCATAACATCTAGTCTGAACTTTCCCTGGCGCAACTTGAGGCCATTCCCTCTTGTCCTGTCGCTTTCTACTAGGCTCATCCTCAGTTCTCTGCAACCTCCTTTCAGGGAGCTCCCCTCAGCCTCCTCTTCTCCAGACTAAACACCCCCAGTTCCCGCAGCCACTCCTCAAAGGACACGTGCTCCAGACCCTGCACCAGCTTTGTAGCCCTTCTCTGGACATGTTCGAGTAACTCTATGTCCTTTTTGTAGTGAGGGGCCCAAAACTGAACACAATATTCAAGGTGCGGCCTCACCAGCACCAAGTACAAGGGCAAGATCACTTCCCTGTCCCTGCTGGCCACACTAATCCTGATACAAGCCAGGATGCCATTGGCCTTCTTGGCCACCTGAGCACACTGCTGGCTCATATTCAGTCAGCTGTCAATCGATACCCTTCAGCACCTTTATTTTCTGGTTGTACTTAGACATGGTTTTACTCAATCTGCCAACAAATATTTGTTTTTTTGGTTTAGGGAGTTTTGTTTGTTTTACAAGGGTTAAATGCAATACAGTAACATATATAGTAGACTGGAAGGACTGCATCAGACTTTCATAGCTGATCACACCTGGCCACACAGAACAGATGTACCACCACATCAAAACACATGAAGTGGGCAGTTCTCTGCTGCTGCATCAATGACATTACCAACATACTTGGCTCCCATACAATGCTGAAAACTCCAGTTTTGAAGAAGGCACACAGCCAGCCCACATGCCGTTTCCAGGACTGTGGCAGGAGCACATATTCTGGGAGAAAGGAGAAAAGCTCCTCATAAATCTCTACTTGCAGGTATACACCCTATTGAACTCAATTACAGTGACAGCTGTACCAAACTAATTTTGATTTTCAAGTAAAAATAATCAATTAAAATATGAAAGACTGATCCTGGGTTCTTCCCTTTTGCTAACCATACCAACAATGCATCACTGTTCTTGGAGAGGGGAGTCTCCATAAGCCCACTGCTGCAGAGATGGGAAGAGGTGCAACAGCAGGCAGGCATAAGCAATGTCAGCCCTCACTCCCAGCAAGGAGCATCACTCTCCCAGTATTTTACCTGACAGTGTGCTAGCTGCCGTCATGACTGTACTTGTCGAGTGCGCAGGGCTGCTGCTTTCCAACAGGAGACAAGAACTGCCACCACTGCTCTTCTTAACAAACGTCTCAGGAGCACTGGGCAAGGGCACTGGGCAGTTGATTCCCAGTTCCTCTTCCTGAGCTTGCTGCCTTCTCAGTGCAACCTGGGAACGAGAAGACAGACATAGGACATGCTCTCTGACTTGAGCACAATTTACAATGTCAACAACGAAAGACTCAAACTCAAGGCTATTTCTTCCTCTTGGTACTCTCTACAGTGTTGATGTCACAATCCAGCCAGAAAGGTAGAGGAGGATATAAATGAGGTTATAAAGCTATTTAAAACCAACCTCTTTTATTGTCCAAACATATATGAACAAACCTGTGAAATGCTGGTGTCACATACATCTTCCTCCAATAAGGCCACAAGAAGATGTACTAAAGCTGACTACACTCACCTGACACAGTTGCCCTTGGGCAAAGCATACTTCCCTCCTCTCTGATGATGCACAGATACTGGGGATAAGAAATTCACCTACTTACAGAGTTCTGGGGTGCTTCTTCATCAATATAAAGCAGCTCCTATTGAGGGACACCTCACATGCTTACACCTGCCATCTGTTGCTCTGTCCAAGCCTTCTGGGCTCCCTTGCTAGCTCTTTGCTGGAAACAGAGCCTTTCAAGGGAATTTCAGTGCTCTGTACAGACAGAGCCATCATGGAAGAAGCATGGCAGATGTGGGGAGCCACCCTCTGAGTATCTCAGCCAGCATCACATGCACTGCAGGTAGCTGGCCAGGCCTGGAGCAGCAGGAGCTCCCCATTTCTTTCCCAAAACTGACTAGGTTCCAAAGCCAAGCCTGCACACACTTTGCAGTCTGGACATTAGTGCAAACCATAGTTATTGCTTACTGAAGATAGAGAGGACCCCTTCCGCCTCATCTGAACTGGCAGATCAATTTTGCACAACTGTCCACCCATGTCAAGTTGTGATACATGTTCAGGCAATAGACACAACACTGCGGGCCTTACAGCTACGTGCCCTGCAATTTGCCAGGTTTGCATCTGTATCTGAACCCTGGAAATCTGTCTCAGACAGATTACAGACTGGGATCATAGTTTTTTCTTACTAGAAATTCTCCTAAGTAACTTGGACAACACTTCTATGTTCAACAGCAACATTTTTCTAATACAGATGCCTAATTCCATTGGAGAAATTAATAATAGCTCTTGCAATAGATATCCCGAACAGGGGGTGTGACATTGACTTCACAAACCAATAACCTTGACCTGTAACATTCTGCCAGCACCAAGGGGCTTACTGCAGAAATGTATTAAAAGGGGGAATGTGTAACTCCTACACAGATAAGGTTTAGTTAGGGAGGTTTTTAAAGCCACTTTCCAATACTAGGCAGGGAAGAGAAAACCCCCAGGAAGGCCACCGCCAGGACCTGCTAGCAGGGGTCATTCAGCACCTGACAGAAGCTGCTGGGTAGCAGATCAACCTATGCAGAAGGGGACACTTCCATGGGGAACAGCCCACTGCATGCTCCTTCCCCCAAGGCAGTCAGACTGCAAAGGGATCCACGTTTATGATTCCATGGGTCACACTACGCTGAGAAAGTGCATGTAACCTGCGCATAGTAACAATTTCTGGACTGCCATGCCACTGACAAGGAGGAATTATTTAAACGAACAAAAGCTCCCAGTGAGTTCAGAGGACATTTAGGATACCTGCACTGAATAATTAAATTAAAAAGTGGGTAAGGATTTAATCCAGGTCTGCTAAGGTTTTGAAATCTGTCAGTGGGACACTCATTTTACGCAGGATCACAAAGCTTTTGGCAACAGTGGGTCGGTGGGTCTGACACCACTGCCTTTACTCACACCAGTAGTCCTAACGCCTTTCAGTTAATTTGTCTGCAGTGGACTACCTGCACGAACGACAATGTGCAACCCCACTCACAGAGCTCAAGTACGCTAGCAGCCATTACACTCCCAGGTCTCCGTGAAGTTTCCGAGATAAAGATCACAAGGTTGTTTACATTATGTAAGGATACAGCAGTCATTTACACTGCCAAAGAGCTGCGACTCCAGCTGGACCGCTTAACGACAGAAGTTCTTCCTACACAGAACTAGATGTAGTTTGGCTTCTTAGCGAATACTAGGGAGTCCTCGTTTTAGATTTAAGATTACCCAGCTACACAGCTATTTACAGAGGCGGTCTATGCAGAACCAGGAACAATGTCGTTAAAAAATCTTTTTAGGAATGCACTCAAGTAAAGCCACCTCTCGCTATAAATATTCTCGCTAACCAATTAGTTGGCTAGCTTATTCCTTAATTAGTTTAAAACAAGTTGAAAACCAGCAATTTCACCTTAGCTAGGATTCTTGCTTCTCTGAAGGTCTTAAAACAGACCCGCGCTGCCGCCCCGGTTCGGCTTGGCGTAGGTGGCCGGGGGGACGCGTCCAGCCGCGCTCGGCGGTGC